TGGGAAAATGTACTTGGTTTCCAAGACAAAAGTTTTACTTCCTTGTCTTAGTTTTATACGGAATTTCTTAATTGATTGGTCAATTGAAAATTCTTAATTAAGCATGGTTTTATGTTCTCTCGTAATATATGTCTTAGGAAACCGCGATGTTTTCGAAGAATTCTTAGAATTGCAATAATTAAGATTTTATTTGAACTTTAAATTTATATTCTTATTGTTGAATGATAAAATATTTATCATTATATTTCATGTTGTAAATATACATGTACACGAAATAAATTTGCACCTAAAAATATGAAGAAAAAAAATTAAGGTTTTATGCCAACATTTTGAAATTGTCTTGTTTTTCCTGCCATAATGTCACACATATATACTTTTAATTTAACACACATATGTATATCATAAACCCTTGTCGTTTACAGACAGTTTTAAACAATAAAAACAAATCAGTTTTCGGTTGTTAATTTTATTATTAAAAACTGATACATTTAAAACACATAATGTTCAATTGTCATTTACAAAGTTTAACATAACATTTTAAGCCTATCATGTGTTGACGTGCCGTAAAATTCCAAACAAACAAACTGCCAAGGTCATTGTACACTTTATTGAAGGTCGCGTTTGTGTCTCTTAGATTTAATTTAACGCCAGTGTGTAAGCATCAGGTGGCATTGTCCCTACTGCTGTAAATTGATCTTAATCTATTAAGACCACCATACTTACTTGATAACTTTTGCATAGAACTGGCCTTAATTACAAAAATGGTTTCCATTTTCAGAAGATAAGCACTATGTCATTTTCCTGTGAATGAATACGTCTGGAAGGTATTCATAAACCAGTAATTATAAATAAGTAAATGTAATATTTGTATTATGGGAACAAACAGTAATGAAAATGAAGATCAAATGTATTTCCTTTACATGTTGCAATGTTTTTAATTTGAAGACTGCTTGACAGACAAATATATCATTGATAGAATTACGTTTAGAAATCAAAATTATTTACACATTTGAAATATGTAAAACAAACATCAAATATGTTAGCATATATTGATTTACAAAATTAGGAAACTTTTGTTCACATTGTAGCGAAGAAATGTTTTGAATTGCTAAAAGCCCATCGCTTTGTGTACATAATTTGAACAAAGCAAATAAACAGTTTGAAAATGTAACACTTTGATAACACAAGTTTGTTCGGAAGATTAGGGTACATAAAATGTTTATTTTACAAGTGAAACTTACAAATAAATAAAAAGGCTTGAATCTTGCCAAAGTTTTGACATGACATCTAATATATGCAATTCACTATGAGTGTATAATATTGTATATTAATTTTATTGTTAATGTTGATTGCTACTTACGGGTGTGGACAGAAGTTTGCAATTCCCATTACCGTCCATAAACAGGATCAGCCACACCAAACCGGCAACCTTTTCAATTTTGCTATCGTTTGCATTCTTTAGGTTCCAATTTTCTCTGTTTTAAATCTTTATGTAAAGTTAAACTGTCAGTTGACCAAGAAAGAATGTTTCTTTTTTTATATTTGGGCTATATCTTTAATACATTTCAATGAAACAATGAAAAAGGGACAAAGGAGATAATTTATTTGTATAGTTAATGTGCATAAATATTTTAAAGGCGTTGCTCACCGACATTCTCGTTTCTCTCGATCTATATTATTCTTTTGAAGTCATTTATCTCTTGAAAAATCCGGAAACAAAACTTGGTGGATCTACTCGGGTGCCAGCTTGTGCTTTAAATAATGCACGTTGAACACCTGAGGTCTTCCTTTACCAATAACACACAAAGAAACAAACGTATTTAACAATTCCATAAATACTCGAAAACAGACAAAACAAACTGGGTATGGTCTTATGGTCGTATGTCATGATATAAAAGAAAAGGGTATTCTTTGAAAAGTTAATGTGATTTGACGTAATTGTCTTGTCAAGTTTTGTGATGTTAGCTCTTTGGTACTTTCGTCACTCTGAATTAGACCAGGGGTTGCTACACTTTTCCATTATACAGCTGGTTGGTTAACACAATAAAGAATATACATAAAATCCTGAAACCAAATTGAAACATGTCTTATAGGTTTATCACACCAGCATGCAGCAATTTAGAATAACCATGTTTGCAGCCATGTCGTTTCGCATGTTGTCACGCGTTAGTCATTTTATAAAGTAGATAAAGTTATCAGTTTCATTAAACAATGATACAAAAATATCATAATCCTTTGACAACCATTCATTTTGAGATAATTATTTGAGATGTTATATAAAGATCTGTATAGCTGTTGGGCTTCACATGTTGTTTTGTTAATTGCTTTTTAGTTGTTAAAAACAAAACTAAATTAAAAATGGTAGCAGAAAATAAATATGATATGTACCAAAATAGAAGACAGAAATAATAAGCATCATTTACATATTCCATTTGTATTCAAAACGTCCAATCCATTTATGACTTATTTCAGTCTAACACGAAGAAGCGTAAATTGTTAGTATGAACTGTCTCAAAGCTCTTACAAATCTTAAGGTGAATGCGTTTGTTCTTCATGAGATGTGCGGTATGTGTTTTTTTCCAGTATAATTATGATCATTGTGTCACAGTTCTTGCTTAAGATGTTTTTAATTTAAAAATGCATTACTTGCTTTTGTTGTTGTTTTTCGCAAAGTCACTTTGTTTTAACAAATTTATGAGAGGGTAAGTTTACAATTATGAACAATTGAGATATTGATATGTTGTTTATAAACAAATTGACACAAGCATTATGACATAAATCTCAATGTTTCTTTCCCCTGTAATTTAATGTATGGGGAATTTTATTCGGCTGCTAGACAAACAATCTTTCAATTACAGAACGGGGCCTGATTAACCGTAAACATGTTTATCATACCGTAACGTATACATCAAAACACTATTGTATCTGTTACTGTTTTCCATTTGTCAGTGTTTTTCCCTTACTTTTCTTGGTAAGGCATTGCTTTGATTTCTTTACGATTCATCAATTTAACAGATTAACCGAATCCAGACGTAGTTAATGATCATTGTAAAATATACCTCAATGTGTTTTAATATATCATTTGGGTTATGAAGCATTTCATAAATTTTATTTGTTTTGCTTGAAATGTAAAAAAACATGAAAATAAGACTAACTATAGATACACAATTCAATATTCGTAGTTGCTTTTACTTTGTGAATTAAAGTAAGATATTTTACTGGCGGTATCAAATACAAGCTGTTTAATTTCTACTAAACATTTATCTGTTTTAACATTAAGTTTAACTTTACAACAATTTACTGAATAAACACACATAGTAAGCCTTTTTTAGATGAAGATAATTACCAAACTACTAACACACATAATGAATATACACGATAAATTCTATTTATTGTGTGTCGATATCAAAATTTAAAATGTATGAATTTCAATGTATTTCTGATCATTTACTGATGATAGCTGAAATGAATTAAAATTTACCAGTGTAGCATAATGTTTGTCAAGCAGTCACATATCTTAATAACGACACGTTAACCTCTAAAACCAAATCGTTTTTATTTTAATCAGATATGAAAGAAAAAACAAATTAGTATTAATAATTTAATTATCAATTTGAACTAATCCAAAGATTACCCAACAGTATAAACGTTAAGTGTTTGATACAAACCGAGGCAAAGGTGAATTTAAGTAATTGATTATTTAGCTTTCAGTGTCTTAAAAGGCCCAGATGCATGTGATCTGACATAAGATTCTGCGTATAGAAGCATTAGTATTAAAAAATAGCTCGTATTCACATGTGCGTGACATACATAGCTCATATATAATACTTGGTAAAGGTGTACGAAGGTTGATAAGGATCATAATTAAATCATTCAAGTCTTGAATGCGAGTTCTACGGGCAATATTCTCTTTCTAAACTTACACTTAAAGTAATGTATTTTCAATTCATTAAAACCAGAAAAAGCTACTTTGACATGACTTAAAGCGATAAGCCTTAGTACCATAGACGTGATTTGATATTTGTAAAACTTAAGATAAAAGAAAAAATGCAAGAACTTTATTTAAACAAACGAAATAATGATTCAAATGCGCATTCATAAGCGCCATCTGTTGAAATTATCATCAGAGCACTTTTCTTTTGGAACAGCAGCCAGTTCTCCATTGGACGAGACGCTGTAATTGAAAGCAAAATAGAACAAAAGGCTATATTTGATGAAATTCAATGTGATAATTTCTTTTCATCATGCGTTACGAATTATTGATAAATTACTTATCTGTGTATCCTATTAAAAGTTATCTTCGTGTCACGTACCAGGAATGATATAAATTGTACGAAAATGACATAAGGTCATATCACATGATATAATTATGTTATCGGTAACATTTATTTATCAAAATGGTTGACAGAGAATAAATAATGTTTATGATAAACAAACAATTGTGATTACTATAAAATGAATACGTCAGCCAAGGTTAACTGTGATTAAAATAAAACAAATATACATACATGCACATATGCAAAAATGTGCATATTAAGAGAAAAAATTAATATTTTTGAGCTGATTTTCTTTTTTCCTTTCTCATAAATTAATTAAGTTTAAAACGGAATCGTTCATCATATTTATACTCACGAGATACACAGTATTTATCATGACTGCATATTATACAATATGACGATGTGTTTGATTTTCGTTTTTTTATATGTAATGCTAATTATTAAAACAAGTCATCTTACTCACGAGACACAGTAATTTATCAGATGATTATTAAAATTGGTATGTTTGCAATTTGGCCTCTATTTATATGAATATATGTATATGTCTGTAATTATTAACAAGTTGGCCTTACTACAAGACAAACATGTAATAATATTACGTGATCAGATGAAAGTTTGAAAATTGTGTTTTTATCTCAACACAATCTTATCTTATGATCAGCAAATATTATAATTGTGTTTGAATGTGATTTCCCATAATTTAGTACTGCGTTCATGTTAAGTAAACAATTGAATGATGTTATAACATTAAGATAACGATTAATATAAATGATCTTGTATCGAAAATTTATTATTATATCTTTATCAGAGTGGTTAACTGTGATAGTTGACAATAAATGTAAGTATTTATTTCTTTTGTTTTTGCATTAACATTTCAAACTATTTTTGTACTTAACTACGGTGCTCAACAAAGAAATTGTTTAAGTTGTGTTTTCTGTACAATTTTACGTAATACTGATTATTCTAGAAATGTTTTTTCAAAAATTACAATCTATTTTAGAATTGAAATTGTATTTCCTAAATTCAAGTATCTTGATGTATAATGATACATATCTAAGATTCTGTTGGAATAAAATGTTTTATACTATAGTGTTTTTCACTCTTGCTTTTTAGAACATTATATTTAAGACATTTGTGAACTCTCTGTGTACATTAAACAAATATCATTGACCGGTCCATTGAAATGGAAGACTTAATAGAAACTGATGCAACGGGAGTTCCTGACAGGAATTGCGATAAAGATATACCTCATTACAAACAGGATGAACGTGTAGAATGTTTAGAAAATGTCCCTGTGATTCTACAAAGTATTCCAGATCCTCCTAGTGACTGGACATTAAATTGTCTTTTAGATGACATTGCAATGAAAGTTGACGACAATAAACAATTAGAGAGGTTCAAAGCACTTTTTAGAGGTGAGCGTCATAGGACATGTCTTACGAGTAATTTCTTTAAAACTTTGGCTGCTTAAAAATATTACAAAGAAACCAAAAAACTGCTAAACATTTGTAATTGTTTGCAAGCAGTTATATTGTTGTTTCAAATATCCGCCTTTAAATGAAGTAGAGGAATATTCAAGTCCATTGCTTTTTTATTTTTATGTTAGATAATGAAAACCTCTATTTTGTTTTGAAATTATGTTTTTTTTATATTATTTTTCCAGGATGTGGTAAATCTTCTATCGGAAAGGGAAAACTAGAAGAGTGCACATCATGTATTCAGTTTTTCAATATTTTAAAAGAAAGAATGTTTATATCAAAGGATAATCTGCTATATCTTCAGAAATTTCTATATATGTTAGACGATAAGGAGCTTATTGTAAAACTTTTAGATTATTGCAGAACACAGAACAAGCCCTATGCTTACAAGGAAGAATTCAATGAAGGTAAAATTCTAAACTTAATAATTATAGACAAGTAATAATCATAGCCACAATTTCATTGCCTCAAAATAAAATTATATAGCACAGATATATATACGAAAGTCCACTAAAAACATTCATTTTATCTTACGAAAAACGAACGCGACTGGATAAAATAAAATACCCATAAAATATTTTTGTGTTTGGTATTTTCATTTGAGAAAAATACGAACGTACATTTTAAACTTCCTGTTTCATTCCATTCCTAACCGTTACAACAGAAATGAAAACAACTTATTCACACTTCTTCAAATTTGAACCGTATTTTATAAGACAAAGCGCCTTTAATATGTTAGGCAAAGTCGGAAAGAGCGCACGGGAGGTGATTTTAATGGACATTAATGATGCATATCCTTATAGTCCTCTTAGCTCATTAACTCAAGTTTTATACATAAGATAGAAGCTTGATATGAAACAATTTAAAATTCAGAAGACTATTTCTCTTTCAGCAGAGTTAGAAGAGTTTCGATGCAAGCAAGTCAAATTTCATCTGAAAGGAGAAGATCATTTAGAAAAGAATCACCAGATAGCTGTCCGGGAAAAGATTGCAGTTATTCTTGGCGTTCCTCATGAAAATGTTATAATCATCGGCGTAGAACGTGTCGCGAGTTTATGCGTAACACTGTTGATTCCCAAAACATACGCCGCTATTTTTCAAAACATGCTGGAAGAAAATCAACAATTCGAAGAACTAGGTGCTTTAAGCATTGACTGGATATATATTGACAACAAAGGGTACAATATAACAGGTATCTTTCCAAAATGTATTCTAAAGATAATTATTATTGATCCATTATTTCTTCTGCCAAATAATATCATCTATTCAGCTTAACCAGTTTGACATTAAAAAAAAAAAATACAAAAATGACTGCATATCAATTAACAAACAAAGAAAATTACACAGTTTGCAGTACAACATGATAATAAAAAACGATCTTATCACATAAATAATTGTGCTTAAAAATATAGTCTATTCACAAGGATGACGTAATGATGTGCTGAGTGCATTTTCACATTAAATTTGCTTCTTGATAAATAATGCTTGTGTTGATATCGCATACAAACGTTTTTTTTTTCTTTTTACATGTTTTAAGATAAAATCCTGTCTTCTTACACACGTTGAAATATCTTATTAAATTAATAAATTTAAACCATGTCGTGTGTTTTTAAGGTACCGAAGATATTAGCGAGGCACAACAGCAAGGAAAGATCGAGAGTATTTACGCCCAATATGAAGAAAAGATTCGATGTTTGGAGAAAACAGAAGCGCAAAATTTGGAACTGAAAGAAAATATTGATGTACTGAAACAAATGTTGGATGATGAGAAGAATCGTAGATAAATAATGCTTGTGTTGATATCGCATACAAACGTTTTTTTTTTCTTTTTACATGTTTTAAGATAAAATCCTGTCTTCTTACACACGTTGAAATATCTTATTAAATTAATAAATTTAAACCATGTCGTGTGTTTTTAAGGTACCGAAGATATTAGCGAGGCACAACAGCAAGGAAAGATCGAGAGTATTTACGCCCAATATGAAGAAAAGATTCGATGTTTGGAGAAAACAGAAGCGCAAAATTTGGAACTGAAAGAAAATATTGATGTACTGAAACAAATGTTGGATGATGAGAAGAATCGTAGATAAATAATGCTTGTGTTGATATCGCATACAAACGTTTTTTTTTTCTTTTTACATGTTTTAAGATAAAATCCTGTCTTCTTACACACGTTGAAATATCTTATTAAATTAATAAATTTAAACCATGTCGTGTGTTTTTAAGGTACCGAAGATATTAGCGAGGCACAACAGCAAGGAAAGATCGAGAGTATTTACGCCCAATATGAAGAAAAGATTCGATGTTTGGAGAAAACAGAAGCGCAAAATTTGGAACTGAAAGAAAATATTGATGTACTGAAACAAATGTTGGATGATGAGAAGAATCGTAGACTAGAACTAGAATCCCAAGATAGTTTCTACAAAGGACTAAAAAATCATTTTACTCTATTATTTTTACACAGTTTAAAGAAAAAATTAATATATTCATGACGTCAATTTATACATGATATTGTCATGTAAATTTAACTTTCGCAACTGTTCGGCCCTTTCCGCCAGTCTCCGGATAAGGACATCGAAGACAATAGTATGAATACACTTTTTTCCAATAGATCAAGTAAAAGACAAGTTCTGCTTCCACTAGTGAGTTATTTGTTGTAGATTCATTTGGACTACACCAGCAATAAGTTCGTTTACTAGTGCCGTACGATCATTTTTATGGAATGGAATAACAAAATTTTTTAGAGCTGGCCCTTTATTATTACTAAAAGTTTATTGTAAGTTTTGTAAGTATCTTTTAAGGTTATCACATAAAATATTGAACATATCCTTCATTAAGAAATTGCCAAAATAGCCTTAATAAAACGCAGAATGAATGAAATAATCATTGTTTTATGAATACCTTATAAGTATTGAAACTTTATTGCACCAGAGACTGCCATTATTTATGAAAATTGCTTTTAAACTGTTGCATACTTATCAGAAAATAGACAATGATCTTTACGATGACAGTGGTCTACTTATATGATTTTCAGCGATTTCTACTAAATTTTCTAGACTGTCTTTTCTTGATACCTGTCTTTAAGAAAATAAATACCAACTTTAAATCAAAACGAGGTAGAAATTGAAAAAATAAAAGTTTTGATGTACTGAGAGGATGTACTAATTCTTTATCTCGTCTTGATTCTATTGGTACTGTGTCAATACTTTAGGCATACAAACCTATTGTACATGTTAACAGACGAGAAATAAGTAATTATTTTGCTTAATATAAGCGTTTTAAATATTATGTTGTATTGAAGCCAGCAATATATTTATTGGCAACTTGCATAATAATTATCATAATTCGGTAAATGAAAGTTATTGACAAGCTTAATATGTTTAGAAAAATAGGTATGTCCTTGTTTTCGGGTGCCTATAGGTTTTATACTGATTCAATGCGTCATGTTCCTTTAAATCTGGTGCTAGTTGTGGTAAATGCAATATATGTTGTTATATCGTTAAGTGATTTAATTTTTTAAAGATAAAATTAAAATTGTCAGTTGAATCCTTTGAAATTGTTAGTGTTAATTATTTTATTGAACAAAATGTTGCTTTTGCATCAATTCCTGTTAAATGTTTTGATTTTAATCATAAAATGATCAGCAAGAATATTGTACGATAGACATTTGAAATAAACAAATATACATGAATGTATAATAAAAAGATGTTTGTTTTAATTTGTTTTTCTTAATATGAATACTTAGATTAAGTCATCAATTTTTTCGTCATTAGTATGAGACAAGGGTTCGATGTTCGACTGTCGATGTTTCAAAGGAGACATGCATGTAATATTTAACTCGTTTTCATCGCATGCTGTGGTGTTTATTGAGTTGTTCAGTCACTGTGGTGAAAAAATGCGGAATAGCTTGAATAAAATTTATTGCTGTATGAGTATTTATCTTATCAAGATGCATTTGTATTTTTTTACCTTAAGTTTGTTTATTATTTATTCTTTCTTTATTCTATATGTCTTTTTTTTATATAAACGATGTATTTTTAAATAGATTGCTGCACTTCATCGGGAGATAAAATTTCACAAACCTTATTATACAAATTATATACACCAACCCAACAAAATGAACCCCCCCCCCACCAAAAAAATAAAAAAAATAAAGAAAAGAAAATCAACACTTCATATTGTGCAGATCCTCGAGAATAGAATTAAAGGTAAGGACTTTACAGAATTTGCATACACGGAAGAGAACAACTGAGACCCAATGATATTATTGTTATCGTCTTCATTGGTCATTTCTGTGAAATTTTTGTCCAAAAGATATGTGTGTTCGTTTATATTTCAAAACTTCCTGTTTCAAAAGGCCGGCACATTAAGTCAATGATTTTTAAAAAGAACCCCAGGAGTTTTGACATTACGGGACTAGATATTTTTACCGAGATGTGTGAACCATTTAATATAGACCTTAACCGATAAGTTGTCTGTAAATGTTCCGATCATTACCTTACCCTGTTTTCAAAAATAATATATTTTCTATTGTGTAAAATTATCAAAATAAGAAAATTGTTGCAATTAATCAGGCTAAGAATTGCACAGATGTGTGTACCATTTAATATAGACGTATACCGATAAGTTGTCTGTAAATGTTCCGATCATTACCTTACACTGTTTTCAAAAATAATATATTTTCTATTGTGTAAAATTATCCAAATATGAAAATTGTTGCAATTAATTGCAATTAATCAATTAATCAGGCTAAGAATTGCAAAGCTTATTGATTTTTAATCATTTCCATGCAAATTATTGTTAGCCTTTGCAAGTTTTTCTAAGTTAAGTACATGTACTTCGCTTGATGTGTTTCGAAATTTTAATTTTTATGGCTTAAGTTAGTCTTTTGACGTCAATGGAACTACTTTTAGATTTCTAACATATGCCTATTATGTTTCGTTAACATGTATTTATGTTCTTAATTAAATTTAATTAATGCTATTTTCTAAACCTGACACAGAACATTTTTCAAAACATACATCAAAGTAGCCATTAAATAACCAGTTGTAAAGGATTGGATAATATTATTTAAACCATAATATGATAAACGTTTTTTAACAGTAATTTTCATCATTTTATATCTATTTAAACTGTTCTTATGTTGTAGAATGATGCAGATATTTATTAATTGGCATTTAATATTTCTTCATAAGGAAAGACAGATTGATTTATTACACTGAATGTATGTAGGCATGTCTTCTCTTCTCTTAGCAACAAAACAATCATAATGACCAACCTTTATTGATTTCCCACAAATGTCTCCGGCTAATGATACTTATTAAACTAATAATATCATTCTGTTACTAACTAAATGATTTGCAAACATCATTACATTACAGATTTTGTGATAACTTTTTGTCCAGTGATGTGAGTGTGGAGAAAATCATTTGAGAATAGTTAGCAAAGACGACAATAGTTTTATCAAGCATCAATGACGTGGTTTTGTGACACTGCTTGAAAACAACTATAATTAATCTTTTTAGATGATATCATTCTTTTTTTCAAGAAAATTAAAAAAGGTTATTTTAAAATTCAACAAAACTCCCTTAGGAGACGTTGGCTGCATTTTAAATGTGTCTTTGACGTCTAATTTGTGATATGCAGGCTTCTTTAACGTGCACCATTGACTCCCTTTCTAAATTTTATTTTTTGTCCTACTTTTGTGTACTCGCTTAGAGTACACGCATTTTCCCGCTTTTTTTTACGAAAGGGCACGTACATGTCATATTTAAGAATCCATAATAACCGCCTTAATTGCAGAGGCTTCATAGTTCAACATTCCACAATTGTCATGTCTAAATGTTGAGTGCTAAATACGCCGGTGCTAACGGGCTTCACATTCCATTTCTGTTCTGCCCACGAACAAGCTCAATGAAACCAAACTTGCAACATTTTAAGTTATGACTTTATATGCGTTCTGTGTGAGTTGACTTTGTTTATCTCTTTTTCATTCTGCATTTGATTGTAATGAATGA